GTGAATTCAAGCTCCACCTGCAGCAGAGATTTCTTCCCTGACGGTTACAATCAGGGAATCAGAATCACATCCGTAACATGAGACTATCTGGAGATGCTGTCGTAGATGGAACACAGGTTTTAGGGACAGGCAGTGTAAAGGCTAACTTAAGGCAAGTTACTTCTTTCTGAACCTCAGTTTCCTTCCTTAAACAATGGGGATAACACTACGTACCTCTTCGGGTTTTTGTGAGCATCAGATGAAATCATGAATAAAGTATCTAGCATAGGATCTTAAGTGCATAAAAAACGTTAGTTTCCTTCCTTGCCCCTTCCCATTCCCTTCCTTTTCTGATTTCGGTGTATGGCACATTCTTTGCCTTGGCAGTAGAGAAATGTTATAACTACCAGTATTTAAATAATGATTTGTAATTCCACAAATATTTCATTTCACCCTTATGACAAGTCTGTAAGGGAAGTATTATCACCCCCTCCAATTAAAAAATGAGGACACCGAAAGGCCTTTTTTCTTTGCTGATTTTGCTTTGCATCCCTTCACCATAATAAATCACAGCAATGAGTACAACTATCTGGCAAGTCCTTTGAGTTCTCCTAGTGAGTCGCTGAACCTGGGCAGGGTTTGGGGGACCTTCCCAACAGACACATGGGAAGAGACAGAGTTAAGACAAATTCTCTAGAACTTCCTACTCCAAATCCAGTGGGCTATACTTTTTCCTTTTTTTTTTTTTTTGGAGACAGGGTCTTGCTCTGCTGACTGGGGCTACAGTGCAGTGGCCCCATCATAGCTCACAGCAACCTCAAACTCCTGGGCTCAGGTCATCCTCCTGCCTCAGCCTCCTGAGTAACTAGGACTACAGGCACATGTCATGCCCAGCTAATTTTGCTATTTTTTGTAGAGATGGGGTCTCGCTTGTGCTCAGGTTGGTCTCAAACTCCTGGCCTCAAGCAATCCTCGCCTCAGCCTCCCAAAGTGCTAGGATTACAAGCATGAGCCACCACGCCTGGCTGTGTTACACTCTTAAATTCACCAGTGCTACGGTCTGAATGTTTGCATTCCTCCAAAATTCGTATGGTGAAATTCTAACTTCCAAGGTGATGAAATTAGGAAGTGTGGACTTTGAGAGGTGACTAAGGTGATGAGGGTGGCACCTGCCTGAATAGGATTAGTGCCCTTATAAAAGAGGACCCATAGAGTTGCCTAGTCCCTTTGACCATGTGGAGACACAGCTAGAAGGTGCAATCTATGAACCAGGAGGGGGGCGCTCATCAGACAACGAATCTACTGGTGCCTTGATTTTGTTCTTCTCGGCCTCCAGACTGTAAGAATGAATTTCAGTTGTCTGTAAGCCAGCCAGGCCATGTTCTAACAGGTCAAACAGACTAAGACAGCTGGATTCGGAGTTTCAAACTTCGGGCTCTGGAAGATTAGAGATGTACTCAGGGCACAGGGTGGGTGAATTCTTCTCTCTCCCGGCCTCATTCTCCTCCCAAGGTTTCCTAACACTTTTTGCTTCTGTGACTATAAATCATTTTAGATTACAAAATCAACTCCTCACCTCAGAAAACTGAAGAGTCTGTGTCACAACAGATAACATATGTGAAAGATTTCTATAGGTAAGTCCTATACTACAATATAAAGCATTCAGTGAAACTTTTAGAGGTGTACTCGTCCCCAACCCACCAGATCGTCCTTACCCTGGACGTGCTGGGCCAGTCCCAGTGTTTTCTGCACGTCCCGGCAGATCTTGGACAGGCAGTACTGGAACTCCTCATCACAGTCATTCTTGCTTTGGCCACAGGTCTCATAGCACCTGTCGTGTTGGTTGCAGCACTTTGTCAGGGAAGGGATCCCAATGTTAAGCTGCAAGAAGCATTTGGATGGATTATTGTCAACGAAACGCAGAACTCCTCTATTGAAGTACTGCATTCAAATAGACTTAGTAAAAATGACAATGACTACTGTATAGATAATTCCAAAATCCATTTCTGCCTACAAATGGTTTCCATGTTATAAATCTCCCCATTACTCTTGGCCACACCCACCCGTGTTACTTTGTCTCAGCCATTCCTCGCTTCTCCCTGTTCTGCAATGTTAGAATATGCGGTTATCTCCCAGTAACAAATACAACTTCCAATGGTCCAAAACACAAAAAAACGTAGTTTTAAAAACAGGAAGAGGCCAGGCGTGGTAGCTCATGCCTGTAATCCTAGCACTTTGGGAGGCCAATGTGGGAAGATTGCTTGATGCCAGGAGTTTGAGACCAGCCTGAGCAATATAGTGAGACCCTATCTCTACAAAAAATAGAAAACATTTTTTTCTATGTTGCATGCCTGTAGTCCCAGCCACTCGGGAGACTGAGGCAGGAGGATTGCTCAAGCCTGGGAGTTTGAGGTTGCACTGAACTATGATGACACCACTGCGCTCTAGCCCAGGGAACAGAGTGAGACCCTGGCTCCAAAAAAAAAAAAAAA